AGAGACCCAGAGGAACTCTTGTTCCAGATCTGGGTCTTCCACCATTCTCGGTACAACAGTCTTCTTCATATAGTCCATTGTCTGGGATTCTTTCCCATAAGCGAGCTTATCTGTCAATGAAGACATTCCTCTGGTTCTCTCTGCTTCCAGCCAAGATCCATGTAACATTAGCTAGAAAATCCCTAGTACCACGGTCTCTTTGAAAGTTGCTGATTTTTGTTGTCAGGCGGCATTACCCGTGTTGTTTCTGGCTGGGTTCTGTGCATGATACAGATGTAGAAGAACAATGAGTTGTACATGGTGCACTGCTTCCCTGTGGGGAACACCAAGCTAGCTGTGGTCAAGTCACCTCCAACTCATGTCGGAGCAGAACGTGCCCTGGAGAGCTGGCCCACCAGGAGGCCCTCAGCTTGGGCCGTCAGCATGGGCCTGTCATCCCTTCTTGCCCATCACCAAGTACCTCACACCCACATCACTAGACTCCTCCACACTCACCCTGGAGGGGCAACTCTGTGCCGGCTCTCTGACTGGGTCATCTAATGCCCCTATGACGGAGAAACCACAAGGGGGTGGCTTTCCCGAACAGAGATTCATTCTTATGGTTTTAGAGCCCAGAGCCAACAGCAGCAGCACAGAGAGCGGAAAACGTCAGGAAATAGCTGAGTTTCCCAAATGAGCCAGTCCGGGCTGTTGTGGAGGCTTGTCTTTTCATGTCAGCACCGTGACGCTCCTCCGTCCCCACGCTGCCGTTCTAATGACCGCCCACGTGGCGGTGACATGTATCCTCACTGATATGTGACATTGTGCTTTTCCCCTCCCTGCGGTTCTGCAGCCTAAGCCACTGCCCAGCCCAAAAAGTGCCAGTGCTTAACCAATGAAAGGCTCTTCATTAAAAGGGAAAGGTCACCTCTGGCTCTCCGGAGGCTGGGCCCGTCCTCTTGTTCTCAGAGAGCCACTGGTGTTGCAAATAGCAACCTGGCCGTTAACAAGTTACACTGGGGAAGTGGCGGACAGGAAGGGTTTTATTTCCCAGGGCTGCTTTTAAAAGGGAGAGAGAAAAAGAGAATGTTTTGTAATTGTTTGCAAGCGCACACAGGCTCGGTGACAAAATGAGACGGAACCCTTGATTTCCAACCTCCTGCTGCACTGCTCAAAATTCCTCCCGGAGAACGAGGAAGCAATCTGAAGCACTCTGATTGTGAAAATTTGCATCCTCTCCTTGCCGGTTATTGTCCCAAAGGGCATTTCACATCAAGCCTAACTTATTTGTAAAGATCTTTCACCCGCGACAGCCCACTTCCCAAGATCCCATTGGTATGGAGGCCTCAGAAACACAAAGGGAGAATTAAAATACCAGGCGTCCCCAGGTGGAACTCGAAATGGATTTAAGAGAGGTTGCTTTCAGCCTCGAACCCCCAACGGATGATCTCATCTGAGCCTCAGTCAGGTAAATAATAGCAAAAGCAGCCACAACAGGAAGAAAAGCAGAAAGATGTTAATTAACGAAGTGTATTTGCTGGATGCATCGGCTTCTGGGGAATGCCATTCACGAGCTAAGCGCTAAGACTGGCATCACGAGTCAGAAATAAAACCCTTTTGCTACCGGGGAGCCAGGGAACCGAGAGGAGTCATAGTGCCCACGGGCGTGTGAGATTTGGCACAATAACACTGTCCAGGCACTTGGTATCTGACCTCAAGGAGGTGTGGTCCCTCTGCCTAATCCCTGGGAAGGTTCTCAGAAAACAAACGAGGAATAATATGAACATGTCAGCCATTGTGGTAGGAGTAAGGTGAGGCTGTGTGTGCAGAAGCACAGAATGTGGAACAGCAGAGGAGCACACCTGGCCAGGTAGGACGGATACAACCATCCACAGGGCATGTGTTCTGGGAACCACACCTGGCCAGGTAAGACGGACACAGTGCTCCCTGAAGCATCAACACCTGAGGGAGGGGAGCATCAGGAGGCGAACCTGATGAGGTTCCAGGAGCTGGAATGTGAGGCAGTCTGTGTCCTACAGCAAGAAATGGGCCTCCCAGGTTTTCAGCAAGCATCTGTGCTCCAGGCAACTGCGGAAGCTGGAGCTTGCTAGATTGGAGACAAGGATGCACTGTTGCTGTTATTGTTGTGAGCTGAGAGTCAGAACCAACCCACAGCTGACCCTCGAGTGGGTCTTCAGAGGCAGTAAATCACACAGGAGGAGCTTGCCCAACCGACTCCCTCCGGGCAGCTGGTGGATTAGAACTGCACGCGTTTGGGATTTCAGCACAGCTTCTTACCACTTGGCCACCAGAGAAAATGGCCAGTTGAGAAATGATCTGGGCCTCAACAAATGACTGTGGCAGTGAGGGTGGAGGGAAAGAGATTCAAGAGACAGTAAAGGGGTAAAGGAACAGCCAGGGCTGAATGATCAGTCAAGGTGGTCAGCCAGGACAAGGACTCAGCCTCCTTCGTCGAGGGACGAGGAAGCAGACACAGGAACTTGTTTAGGTGCCGTGGAAGGAAACTCTGTCAGACGCTACGCCATCTTCAGAACCTCTGTTGTGCATAAACCTAGTGTTGAAGTCACTGTGCCAATGAATCCCATTGAAGGCCTTCCTCTCCTTCAGTGACCCTCTATTTTTCAAAGCATGGGAGCCTTCTCTAGGTACTGGCCCCGCCTCGTTATACACTCATAGCATATCTCATCACCCTTGCTAAGGAGCACTCCAGTCCCTGTTGTGTTCAAGACCTGTCTGTTCTTTACAGTCCAGGGCACAGTAAATATTCTTCTCCAACATCACAACTCAAAGGCATCGATTCTTCTATCATCCTCATTCATCATCCAGCTCTCAGATGCATAGCAAATGAGTGGAAAAGATCATGTCCTGAATCAGACACCCCTTAGTCTTCAAAATGACATCATTGCTCCTCAGTACCTTGAAGAGGGCCCTGACAGCAGACTTTCCCAAGGCGCTACGTCTTTTGATATATTCAGACGACACAAGGACTTGCACTGGGAACCCACAGACAAGACTTCTCTGGTGGTTCGAATCCACCAATGACTCGTTGGGAGAAAGGGGAGCCATCTCCTCCCATGTGACTTACAACCTCTGAAGACCCGCTGGAAGATTGGCAATGAGTGAGTGAGCGACGTAGTCCTGTCCTTTCCCGACACAATCCAAAGGCGGCAGCTCTTGTTTTGATCTTCCTTACTTCTTGCTCAAGTTCCACATCCATATGAAGCAACTGAGAATATCATGGCTCGGGTCAGGCGTACCTTAGTCTTTAAAGTGGCCCTTGACGGTAGATTTACCCAATCGATTTGTCTTTTCACTTCCTGTTACTACCATGGGTGTTGATTGTGGGTCCAAGTGGCATCAAACCCTTGACAACTTCAATATTCACCGTTTATTGTTGTTTATTGGTCCAGTTGTGAGGATTTTTGTCTTCTTGATGCTGAAGTACAGCCCATACTAAGGACGAGTGAGTGGTGTCTGAGCTTCCTGAGCGAGCCCTTCAGGTAGGCTTCACTTTCTCCCACAGGGTTGTATCACCTGTACCCATTCTGCAGGTTGTTAAGTCTTCCTCCAATCCTGATGCCACATATTTCTTCACATAGTCCAGCTTCTTGAATGATTTGCATAGCTCACAGATTTAATGAGTTTGGCCAAAGGATGCAATCCTGACTGGCACACACCTGTCCTTATTTTAAACCATGCAGTGTTTCCTTATTCTTGTTCGAATGACTGCTTCTTGGTCCATGTACAGGTTCCATGTGAGCACAGTTAAGGGTTCTAGAGTTCACCTTGATTTCAATGTCATTTGTAATTTATCGAGGTAGCAAAATGCCAGACATGTTAGAACTGACATGTTTTAATGCTCCTGCTTCTGCATGGGAGGAAGAGGGCCCATCTCTTCCCACACAGATTTACTGAGACCCCTGTGACTGGGTTTACACAGGGAAGGGACAGGTTTAAGTGAGGCGTGAGTCCAGATGGCACATGGTGTCATCCCCAGGTGAGGGCTTTGGACAGAACATCTGAGACCCACGAACAGGTCTAGCTGAGTTTGAGGCACCTGGGGAGTCAGTAGAACAGAGAATGAATGACGTCATCCAGAGAACTCCTGGGAGGGCCAGGGTCACAGGCATGCGCACTAAAAAGGATATAAACTGCTCAGGCACGAAGATCAGAGAGCACAGAACAACATCTAGGGCAAGAATGGCTTTCAGGCAGGCGCTGTGTAAAAGGAGCTGCACTACCATGCCTTGGGCACAGAGTTCGAATCTAATAGCTGCTCAGGAGGAGACAGGTAATCTCCTGTGCAATTTACTGTCCCTGAAAATTGACTGGAAGATCCACCCTGGCTTGATGGCACATCACAACCATTAAAGAAAACAAACTAAGATTAAAACTGAAAAGCATGCACTGGACACATGGGGTGAGCCTGGGTCAGCAGATCTGATCTGCGTTTTGTGTTTCTGCGCGGTCCCTCTGCCGGTCGTGCTGACTCACACGGAGCCTGTGTGTGTCCAAGAAGAAATGCACTTCCTAGATCACCGGGCCTTTCTTCTGCGGCACTACTGGTGGCCAGTCCTTTTGTCAACAGCCAAGCGTGTGACCACTTGCACCACCAGTGACGACAAAGTAGTGCCAAGCAGTTCCTGTTCTAAAGTTGAGAGGATTCTGATGGAATGGTATTGACATGAGCACCATTTAACAGCCGAATGAAGCCCCTTTCCTTAGAGTAGCCACCGCCCCAGACCTCAGTTTCCGCTCCAACCCTCGAGCCCCCATCCGCAACATGTAGGACGCACGGTAGTCAAGAGCCAGAAATGACTGGATTGAAACAACAGCCAGGGGCACTGAGGATGATCTTGTCCTTCTCCAGGGGTCACCTTGCTAATTTAGGGAGCCGACTTGCCCACTGGGTGTGCAAAGGTCAGGAAGCAGCGGGTTACAGTAGGTCTGAGTGGGTTTGGAGTCTCAGCCTCCCAGTAACCACCTTGGCTTTCCCGCAGGTGCGCTGAGGCGCTGCTGGAGCACAGGGCCTCGGTGCAGCTGGACGGCGGCCCGGCCCGGGACACGCCGCTCCACGTGGCCGCGCAGCACGGCTTGGACGACCACGTGCGCCTCTACCTGAGCCACGGGGCGCGCGTGGACACACGGAACGGCCGCGGAGAGACGGCTCTGAGCGCCGCCTGCGGAGTGGCGTGGCGACCCGAGGAGCACGCGCGCAGCCTGCGCCTGTGCGCGCTGCTGCTGCAGCACGGGGCTGACGCGGACGCGCGCGACGAGGACGAGCGCAGCCCGCTGCACAAGGCCTGCGGCCGCGCG